GTATATATACTCTATGCAGATGGTAGATACCGGGGTTTATTATTTCATAAAGGCGGTGGCTGTAAAAGTGCTTCCTCATTCTGGATATCACCGGCAAAGTTAATAGAAAGATGTAAACCGGCGTTATGATCACACGTGAATGCAATGTGGGATACGAGAGAGTAGATGGTTGCAACATATTTGCCCTATCGCGGGAATTTTTAGGGTTAGACTTGATTTGGTGATTTGGTTGGACAGTAACTGGGTCCACAGCTCCCAGAACGGTCACCATAGATGGAGTTAATTTGAATTAGGTGGCTTTTTCTTAATTTTTAAGCACTAATTTACTTTATTTCGACTCTGAGCAGTTGTCACATTCTTATTATATGCTGTTAATTTTGTTTCTTGCAACATCAGATGGGGCACTGCGGATACTGTACACGTTAGACATTTTATGAAGTTTAATAGCCGGAATATCTATACCACATACTTAAAAAATATAGCCTCATCCGAGCAGACATCATCCTGACGTTTGATTAAAACTTCGCGACGGCGGAGCGCCATCAGCGTACGAGGGAACTACCCGTATATTAAGGATTTCCAATTAAAAGTTATGCAATTTCAAACAGCAAGTACTCTTAAAGCTTCAACATGTAACATATCGGACCTGAACTAAGTTTAATTCGGGCAACTTCCGCCATAAGAGACGAGCGATAAATTTTGAAAATTTCAATCGAACAGGTCGAGATTTAATATATATGGCAAAGTTTTCTAATAGTATACAGGATGTGTCGAAAGCGAAGTTTTGTTTTAAAGGATTTAGCTGATGCTAGAGTAACGCCTCTCACAAAAAATCGGTCTAATAAAACTTTTAATAATCGCTTTTGTTCTAACTCGTTTTCTTAGCCGTTTGATTTTAATTTAGGTGTCAGTATAAGCTTATTCTGGGCACTATCATTGGTGTTTTAATCAATTTATGGCCTTTTGACTTGAATATACAGGGTTTGACTGCCCTGCTTAATTTTAACAGACGATAGAATACATTAAAATAAACAAAAAAAAACCTTATATGACATAGGTCCTAAACTCAACCATTTCCGACAAAAAAAATTATCAAAAAAGTTCGGTTAATTAAGGAATGTTGACATAACTGCGTGCATTGAATACCATAAAATACAATGTTGTTTATTTGAACTTCTTTATGCTTAATTCTAAAAAATAATTAGCGTTGTAATAAGTTTAAAATACGATAAAATTCATATCTAGCAATGTGACAACGGCGCGGCGGATAGCACGAGGTACAAGCTGTCCAGCAATACGCAATTCAGTTGGTATCTGGAATTGGACCATATCTGAGTGTTTTTTGCGTACCACTATTTCATTATCTTCTTCTGTAGATGCAATAATGACATTGCGGACATATATTTAATTTACGGAGAATGTTTTCAAAATTTTGTATAGGCATATCAAGTCAATTATCGATTAATTCTGCGCTGCTGTAAAGTTTGTCATACCGTGGTTACATCCTGTATAAATTTGGTTACGCTCATCATCCTCGCTTATAAAAATGAACGACAAAGACGTCACATACGCGTACACCCTGGTATGTAAAAAGTGTCCCATTCTTTATTTATCAAAATAGACGCGGGAGTAGTGGCAAAGCGGGCGGCGATTATTCAAACGGGATTAAACGCAGAAGTAAAATCGCGGATGACAAATCCACCGCGGCGGGATTAAAATTATTTTTGTGGTATTTTTGCGTCCGTCTATTTCCGTCCGCAGTGAATTTTTATTATTTCGTATGCGTTTCATCATGTAAACAGATAATCCCAGTTCATGTTTCAACTGAACTGGAGTGAATGCATGAAAAATGCCATGATTCATACCTAAATTGACACGTGGAATAATGGGGATCATTTGTTCGAGATGTAACGATGCTGCGGTTAATAGCCAGCATAGCGTTTATCGCGTAATTTTGTTTGATATTCTGTATCATTCGTTACCCAGTCAAATTACAGACAGTAAGATGTGTTTTTAGCTTCTATACCTATGTATAGAAAGCCTATTCAGATATACAGAAAGTTAATAAAAACTAAAAATTATGTAAAAAAACTGTTACTCTCGACACGTAGATAAAATATTTTTTATTTAAGAACGACTGGTTTATTTTCCTCACTTATAGTAGTCACTTACCTTGTAGTAGTCACTTACCTTGTAGTAGTCACTTACCTTGTAGTAGTCACTTACTTTGTAGTAGTCACTTACCTTATAGCAGTCACTTACCTCATAGTAGTCACTTACCTTATATTAGTTGTCAAAGACAACAAAATAGACAAAGTATAATTGACTTAAAGTATAAATGTGACGCAGAAGGTAAAACTTGCTACTTAAAGGCATTTTTGAGAAATATGAAACTCAAATATTTTATTAGAAAAAAATAATTTAGCTATGAACATACAATAAATATACAGTATAGTGCTAAATTTGCTTTACTTAATCTACGCCAACGACGTTACCAGTAGAAGTAGTAGAAATAGCAGTAGAAGTAGTAGAAAATAGTAGAATAAAAGCGATACAATATTTTTTTGTGTTCTTCCTGTAGCTAGATTTTGATTTACGGCATAAAAACCAACAAAAATTATTTTTTTCCAGGGGACAAGACTAATAGCCCAGTTACTGTAGCTGAAAATATAGTAATACCTCCGAATTTTTTATAACTGCATCGATTCTTCTCAAAATTTAGAATTAGGCTCATCTTACCCCCCAATTCAAAACTTATATAGGCGCTAGGTGTGCTTTTTGTTTTTAAGGGGTGAAAACCACCCCTTATTGGAAAAAAAAGAAAAAATACAAATTTAAGCATTTTATGTAATCAAATCTTTTTTATTTGTGCAGTATGAGTAATTTCGTATGCTATCTAACATGAAACTTAATGTATCCCGAATTTTCAACCCGGAAAAACCTTTAAAAACCACCCCTTTGGTTGAAAATAATATAAAAATTCTTTTTTCAACTTGAAATGTTTTAATCATGCATTTTTATCAAATTAAAATTGATTTCTTGATTAAAAAATCTTTCTTTATCGATTGCAACTTTTCAACCCTTGAAAAATACCCCTTCTTTCGAAAATAAAATGAAAAAATATTATTGAAAGAGTAGAAACATTTTAAATGTGCATTCGTATTAAATAAACATTTATTCCCTTCTTATAAAATAATTTTGAATTGATTGCCACTTTTCAACCCTTAAAAAATTCCCCTTAAATTTATTTATATATTTTTTTCTAAAATTATCACCTATTTATTTTTTTGACTATAACTTTCTTACTTTTTAAGATTTTTAATTGCACAAAGGCGATTTTGCAGGGAATTGTAAGGGCTACGTGAATCGACGATCTTTTTTAAGCCCTTAATTTTTAAGTTTGAATTGTTTAAAGGGCTCGAAAAGGGTGGTTCTCTCATTCATATGATAACTTCAAATGGCGATATCTCGCTTAATATTAATTTTAGAGGAATAATAAAAAAGCTAAATCTTCAGCAAAAATAAAGCTAAATTTTTTTTACTCTTGTATTTTTTTCGTACACGGTGTATAATCGAATTTTTTTCAAAAATTTGAAAAATTAACATTTTCAAAAATTAAGTTTTTTTTTCAAAATCATGCTTTGTAAGTGAGCCAAAGACCCAGAACATATTCTTAGAACATAAATGAAGAAATCTGTAAATGAATTGCATTTAATTTTAATTCTGTCGCCAAAGGCACCGATTTTTTTAATACTTTTTTCTTAAAAAAATAATCATGTTATTTCGACCATATTTCCGTTAATTTTGATTCTAAAGATTTTTAAAACAGCTCATTTTAAAGATTTTTCAAAGTACTTTAAAAAAGATACAAATAGTTGTTTTCCTAATATTTATGGTTTTGGCGTTATTTAACGTTAACTGGTTCCAATTTAATTTTTAGCTAACATATGTTTAAAAATTCATATCTCGGTTAATATTGCAATTAAAGAAAAACAAAATAATACCATTAGATTTGTTTTTTTATTACCTTTCTTTTTGTTCATTACAACTTTTTCGTTAAATCCAATGGTTTCAGAGTTATTTGCAAAAAACTGTCCGAAATCAAGCACTTTTTTAGTAAAAAATCAACATTTTCAATGACGAATTACTCGGAAAGTATTGGATTATCCAAAAAACTTTATATATCAATTATAACTTAAAATTGACTCTATCGATTCTTGTGGTTGTTTTGGGCGTAAAAATTTCCACCCCCAAGGCAAAAGCACACTTCGGCACTATATAAGTTTTGTTCCTTGAGCCATTCCCCACATTCAGTCAAAATTTCACGTCAATCGGTTCAGTTATAAAGAATTCGGAGGTAAAAACCCCGTGTAACTGGACTATAAGTACGAGAATGAAAACCATTAAAAACAAAATACTAAACAAAAAAAATCTTTCTTATCATTTTTTTTTTTTTTCGGAAAAAACAGTTTATACATACATATAATACACATTCAGGATGTCCTAACACCCAAGCCGAAGTTTCAAATAAAAGTTGTAGGATATTAAGAAACCAACATGATGGTGACCTTGGATTTGATTCTGAGAAAATTGAAAAAACGCTCTGTATTTCTTAACCGCTTCAAGATATCGAGATTTTCCTCGAGCCCATGATTTTTTTGTCTTTTAGTAGTACACCACAACGAAAGAACAGGTCCTAGTATTGAACCTTGCGGAACACCACAGAGCAAATCAAAGGAGGCATAAATTATGCCTCTGATTAAATCAAAGATCTATTCACTTCACTAGCGCTAAGACTAGTGTAAATTTTACTGTGATCTATTTTAGATGAACCGCCCCATCCTCCGCACGAAAGCAGCCAATGGAGCCGCGTCGCCGTAAACCTATCGCGATAAAATTATCCAACCGTCTTGTTCGGTCTATTCGCCCGCACGCGATGCACCTTGAAACAGTGAATAATTGTCCTGGTTGCACCGTAATGGATCCTAAATTATTCCTATCTAACCGAGTATAATGCACCTGTAGGGCGGCTCGTAAGGCAGCGTGTGCCTCGGGCTGATGTATAGGGATCCGAATTTCTCCAGGGAGTAGTTTGGTCCGCTGCGCCAGCCCGCAAACCCTGTAATTACATGTTGTATTAGTCCCAGTAAAGCTAAACCGTAATGTACACAATAATATCCTGTTAATTTATCAAGCCGGCTATGACTGGCCACCGACAAACAATTAATTAGCTCGCAGGATGAACCCCTTGCAGGTTGCCTTTGAATGCATCTGCGTGGGACCGGAACCTGCGTTTACGGTTTAAGTTTTGAATGTGTTAATGTTGAAACGCATCATTCATCGCCCCATTTACCTTTCTTTCCAATGACAGATCTCTGACACATACACCGTTGGTTCAAATTGAAACGTTTTAACGTTTTAATACGATAGTACCTGCAAAGGATTATCCTGATACAATCAAATCGTAACATTAAAAACGGTGTACATACTTTTAAAAATAGATATATTAGCGATTAGAACATTACTGTTCCTAGAAATCTCTCTCTACCAAATATTTTTTTACAAATTTGGTAGAGAGAAAAAATATCTTTAAAGGTTTCCCCTTCGATTTTTTTCGGATAGAACCGATTGACGTGAAATTTGGACTGTAAGTAGAAAATAGCTCAAGTAACAAAAGTTATATAGTGCCGATGAGCCGATGAGCGCTTTTGCCCAGAGGGTGGATTCTAGGGGGTGAAAAATAAAATATTGAAAATAACCCCAGGAATCGATAAAGCAATCAATTTTAAGTAAAAAGTATCTTATGAATATTTTTCGATAAGTCGATATTTTCTGAGTTATTGGCGATTGAAAAAGTACATTTTTTATTAAAAAAAAAGACGTTTTTCAGTTGTTTTTCTCGAATAACTCGGAAAATAGACATTCTATGAAAAAAAAACATCACGAGGAAAATGAAGCTTATAGAAAAAGAAAAAGATTGAGTTTTTTTTTTCATTTATTATGTAAGTGCAATTAGGTGGTCAGATACAGTTGGTTGAAGATAATTTCATGTCTGCCAGAAACTAAATTGGAAGCGTTTAGCGTAAAATAACTAAAAAAAATCTATTTTTCAAGAAAAATGCACCGAACATTTTTTAAAGTACTTTAAAACATCTTTTAGGAATCGATAAAGCAATCAATTTTAAGCAAAAGGTATCTTATGAATATTTTCTGAGTTATTGGTGATTGAAAATGTACATTTTTATTTAAAAAATGACATTTTTCAGTTGTTTTTCTCGAATAACTCGGAAAATAGACATTCTATGAAAAAAAAATATCACGAAGAAAATGAAGCTTATAGAAAAAGAAAAAGATTGAGTTTTTTTCATTTATGTAGGTGCAATTTGGTGCTCAGATACAGTTAGTTGAAGATTATTTCGTGTCTGCTAGAAACTAAATTGGAAGCGTTTAACGTAAAATAGCTAAAAAAAATCTATTTTTCAAGAAAAATGCACCTAACATTTTTTAAAGTAATTTAAAAAATCTTTTAGGAATCGATAAAGCAATCAATTTTAAGCAAAAAGTATCTTATGAATATTTTCTGAGTTATTGGTGAATGAAAATGTACATTTTTTATTTAAAAAATTACGTTTTTCCGTAGTTTTTCTCGAATAACTCGGAAAATAGACATTCTATGAAAATTTATAAACATTTTTTAAAGTACTTTAAAAAATCTTTAAAATGAACTTGACTTTAAGTCATTAGCATAAAAACTAACAGTTATGATCAAAATAAAACTTAATTCGCTTTTTCGGAAAAAAAGTACAAAACTGTTGAATTTTTCACGAGACTTAAAATTAAAAGTAATCGTTCTACAATTTACATTTTTTATGTGCTAACAATATATTATACAAGTTTAAGCTGTTTAAAATGCATATTTTTGAAAATATTATGTTTTCGTTGAAATTTTTTTTTTTAATTCCAAAAAAATAACATAGTTTTGAAATAAGAAAGATACGAAAAATATTCAAGAGTATAAAAGTTTACATTTTTTTTCACAGAATGTTTTGATTTCTTTTTTATTTGTATAGGATAAAAATTAACAAAGATGTCACTGCTAGAAGCTTGCAGTTGAGGGCGAAGGTCATGTTTTTCAAACCCTTTAACCACAAAAATCTCAAAAATAACGCCTTCAAAAATATTCAATTTTACAGTACTTTTAAAATATTAAATAAAAATATTAAGAAATAATTATTTTGAATATTGCATAAATTAAAGTAAATCGCGAGAAAGTTATTACGAAAAAAAAATTATAATTCATTTCAAATAATTTAAAAGCCATTTTTTATATTTTGTCATTGGAGGTGGTTTTTAAGGGTTAAAACAATGTCATAAATTATAAATTATAAACAGGTAAAATAATTTAATTTATCCTGTTTGTACTATCAAATGATTTTAAACTGTTAAAAATTATTTTTTTAGTATTTTGTTGTTAAGGGTAGTTTTTTAAGGGTTGAAATTTTGTAATAAATTATTTATAGTGACATAAACTATTGAAAAGATTTCTGTCTATAATATATTCGCTTTAAAAATATTTTAAGGTCAAAGAAACTATTAAGTTTATATTTTTATCATTAAGGGTGGTTTTTAAGAGTTGAAACTTTATAAAAATAACGTAAATTATTACCCACAATATAAAATAATATTTAATCTATATATTAAGATATGATTTTAGTCTATATAAAACCTATTTTTATATTTATTCAGTTTTTTAGCATAAGGGTTGGTTTTCATACCCTAAAAACAAGAAGCGCATATTAAGCATATATAACTTTTCATCTACAGGGTGAAATAAGCTTAATTCCAAATTTTCATAAAAATCGGATCTATCCGAAAGTATTCGGAGGTTTTACCCTATTTTTCTCTTCGTTCCCTCGACTATAAAGTTAATTCAAACAAATGCCAAACATTTTTTCTAAAAAAGTCGGATCAAGTTAAGCAATTTCGCAAGTAATTTCTTATATTATTGTTTTAGTTGAATATGCCGACTCAGCACACAAGGAATCCGGTCTCAAAACACATTGAAAAAAGAAGTAAAGAAACCTATTGGCCCTTCTTCTCTGTATAGGACCGCAAACGGAAAATGATCCAATCACGGAGTTCGCAGAAATTTGATTGTGAATCAATTGTATATAAAAAATAATTATGGGCAATGGTATCTGATGAGTCTAAGATCGTTAGATGAGGAAGGAACAAGGAAAATGATTCTTCTTCAAAAATGAATTCAAGTTTGTTTGATATTTTTTTCCGTATTACAGACTTTAAGTACGAAGTATATAAAATTATTTTTATATTGCTTTTTTACGTATACAGCCTAAGGTACTAAAAGTTATGTTGGTTAATTTTCTCATTTCGATGTTTAGTTTGAGAAATTGGAAATCTATACCCAGTTTAGAGAGTTTCTCATAAAATAACTTGAGGCTGTAAGACTGTATACGTATAGAAAATCTCAAATTTCAATACAAACAAGACTGTGGGCGGTCCATTTTATGCTTTAAACTATAATACCTGACTTGGTCTACACTAGAGTTCAATACAAATTGAATTATAATCAGATTTAATCTAATAAAACGTAAAAAGCTAAATCCATCAATCAGGAAGTACTACTTTTTCTCTACAGACATTTATGGACACAATTTCGTAATATCAAAACACCAAAACCTAAATATTTAACGAACCAGTACTTATACAGGACGTTTTGAGAAAAGGTGCCACAAAAAATAAGACGATTTTGGATAGACCAAGGGCCTATTGTCTTTTGTTTTCGAAGTATAGGGCGCCACATTTTAAATTCTTTTTAGTTTAAGATCGCATTATAAGTTTCTACACTGTTTTGTACAAATATACAGGGAAAAAAGTACAATATGACTATTGTGTTGAGGTACGTATGAATTGGCTGTATCTGTTTTTCTCGTTAAAATACTATTGAAAAACAGTTTACAAATATGTGTTAAACTGTTGTTATTTATTTGTGGCAAGAAAATTAATGAAATAAATCCTTTTGCCTAACCAAAATCGCACTCGCACTGGCGAAGGTGGCAAAATTCCCAGTAAATAAGGGGAACAAAGTTTTAACAGAATTTAATTGTTAATTCAAAAGCTGGGATAAATAAAAGACCAATTACTTGGCAGATCAGCGGAAGAATACTCTCCTTCCAGTGTTCAAATCCTAGGGGGCTCTGGTTGTGAAACACCCCCCCCCCCCTTCCGCGCCGCCGCAATTTTTCCCTAATTAAAATAAGCGATGCACTTTTGCGGCCGACTAGGAACTGTATATGATTACATAAATCGCAGACCGATGCGGTGGCGTCCCAGACTGTGCCGCAATAAATCCCATTTAACCGACACTCGACTGTATTTATGCCTCACTTTTTATACTTAATTTCGAGCTTAATGTTATTAAAGAAGAGCGAGAATAGGTGCTGTCCGTGGTGCAGCAGATTTATCGCTAGGTACGGTGATTTATCTGCTGCTAGAACATTTTACTGTGCAGTTTGTAAGAAGTCGCTCGAGGAAATTTTGTTTTTTCTTTGCTATTGCCTGCAGCGGACAGTCACTGGACTAGCGCAAAACAAGATGTACGGTAGCGAATTTCGTCAAGCTGTATTCGTCGTAAACGAAAAAAAAAAATAGTGCAGTGAGTAGCGCAGAAAACGGTGATTTTTGTTGTATTCTTCACAGTTGACAGTGACAAGTGAAGAGAATAAAGACAAAAACACATCACTGTAACCGTGTAACCTCCCACGGCATGAGAAATATATATCTTTATCCAACAGTTGGTGACTGAAATCAAAATTTAAATAACTAGCCACTAAAATTTTTAATCACTTGCGAGATAAAATAATAATTTAAATAAGTCTGTTTATGTGATATGTGATGAGTACCACATACTAATATTGGCGCATTCGCCATTTTTAACAATTGCACGAATTGTACATTTTATTTTTTTTACTTACAAAAAAATTAAGAATGCTTGTTAATTCAATTACCTGTAACAGTTTTCATCACATCCAGTATAAATATAATTGACAAATATATGCAATAAATATTGTGTAGCCATATACATGGTGGGTCATTAGTGTCAGAAAGTAAAATAACTCCCTTGTTAGTGATAATACAGAAAAAAAGTTTATATAAAAGTTATAGAGAATCAAGAAACCTAAACTACAAAATTAATGTGATACATACAGGGTGATGAATAAAAACGGGATACGCCAAATATTAAATTTTTAAATGGAACAACCTATATATTTTTAAACATATGGATTTCCGAGAAAATTCTTCGAATTTTGGGAAAAACATGACCTCGAAGAAGTTGTACTAACTTTCAGCTATTAACACTTGGAAGAAAATAATTAGACAGAGTTATAGGCAAATGTTAGACAAAGGCTCCTATATTAGCTAATATCGATATTTTATACAGGGCATTTTTTATAATAGTATCATTTTTAGAAAGTTTAAACTTGATTTTCTAAAATTTTTCAAATGGAACACCCTGAATTTTATTCTATTTTATTCACATATCGGTCCACTTCAACTTTTATTAAGCATGTTCTATATCTAAAATTGTTAGTTTTTAAGATATGGCAACATTTCTGAAAAAAGTTTTTATTATTTTATAGAATACCACAAATAAATATTAACTCAAAATGGAATGATAAATTATGAACTGACAAGTTGAAACAATGTGACAGTTTTTTTCAGAGCCATTTCGGGTCAAAATAATAAAAATTAGGTTTTTCCAGAAATGTTGCTATATCTTAAAAACTAACAAGTTTAGGTGTAGAACATACTTAATAGAAGTTGAAGTGGACTGATATGTGAATAAAATAGAACAATAAAATATAGGGTGTTCCCTATATTAAAATGCCCTGTATAAAATATTATATTAGATATTAGCTAAAATAGGAGCCTTTGCCTAACATTTGCCTACAACTCTGTCAAATATTTTTGCTCCAAGTATTAGTAGTTGAAAGTTAATACAATTTCGAGGTCATGTTTTTTCCAAAATTCGAAGAATTTTCTACATAACTTGACAACCCTGCACTAAAATGTTAAACTGTTTATATTGCCTTATATATGATTAAAAATATACAGGGTGTTCCATTTAAAAAATGTAATATTTGGCGTGGCCCACTTTTACTCATCGCCCTGTGTGTTTCAAATTAATTTTGTCCTTTAGGTTTTTTGATTCTGTACAACTTTTATATAAACTTTTTTTCTGTATTATGAATAACAAGGGAGTTATTTTACTCTTTCTAACAGCAATGGCCCACCCTGTACATACATGTATTTTAAAATGACTTAGGTATATCAAAAAGAGTTTTTATCTACTTTCCATGAATTGAAAAACCGAGATTTTGAATGCAGGAACAAAAAAATAATTAGACAACCTTATTTTATGTACATTCCCAGGTTTATCTGGAAAATTTCTCTAATGCTTTTTTTATTTATGACAGTTTACTATTTCAATAGTTATATTTAGTGAAATACCTACCTGAAGATAATATAGGAACCGGTTTAGGTGGTGCAGGAGGCCAAATATCTCTTTCTATATTATGTTTAGATTTCTTCTTCACTGTCATTCTTCTGTAATCTTCTTCAGAGTAACCCCGTTTCGTAGCTTCTTCCAAACAGAACTAAAAATGTGATCTTTTTTAATTCGTTTGTAACCTGAAATTTTGATCTAGTGCAAAGTTCAACTGTCAAAGTAAGTTGTGGACAGGAAAAAGTACCGAATCCAAAACTGACTACGACCCTTTATGAGAAGTTATGTCACTAGTTTTGGACTTTTAATTCTTCAAACTTAGTTCGGAAACTTTTGTCCACTACTGTACGTTATACAATTACATAACATATCATGAGACTGTTCTTCAGTTTAGTTTAAAAAAAGTGATTTTAGATATACAATACTGATTTTATATTCATTCTTTTGTTTTTTTTTTCGACCCTGTAAATGAAATTAGTATTCTGTTGGGTCTGTGTATGTTGAATAAATAAACCCGCTTCATCCGGCTCGACTTGGCGCGGCGCGGCTTTGCGTGTACGGCTAGCTTTACTTGTCGTTTCGTTGGGAATCGGTGGAAAAGTGCAAGAGGGCATAGGGATGGGCGTCCAGGTTTCGCGCTACCAATTTAATGATAACTATCTGTCTGTATTTGCCGTTGTTGTACAAAGGCAAAAGGGAAGGAAATTGGCGACATAACTAAGCTCCTTACTTCGCCGGCCCGTCTGCGAGGCACTGCACTTTGTGCCTCGGTATCCAATTTATGCGGCTAACAACGGTTTACTCTCAAACACTTCAATGCACGACCGGGCTTTTTGAACACCAGGGACCGCTTTGTCATTTTAATTGCTGCGGTTACGGAATGAAATGTACTTTTCAAAGGATTCGGATTCAATTTGTCAGAAATTTGTCCTGGAATATGAACAGGAGGCGACTAGTTGCGAAAGTTGCACAGGTCGAGCGGTATTAACTCGAAAAATAGATTTCCTGGTTTCATCCTGAATCGAAAATGTTATTAGAACTTGCAACTGTACTTAGTTCGAAACGCGGTAGAATAATGAAAGCTCATCGTAGTACCCAGAGTGGGGACAAATAGAACATTTTTAAGTTAAAGCCTCATAGTGGCTTGAAATTTTATTTTTGTCAATAAAAACCAACCTGTAAAACACAGAACTGCCACTGCCGGACAAAATGTTACGTCGTAGCTAATCCGCTAACGTCATTATTGCAGATTGAGAAAAAAATATTTTTATGTGTCTTTAATTCATTTTTTATTTTGTAAAAATCTCACCTTATCAAAATTTAAATAGAATCCCCATTTTGCGGGCCATTCTCTTCTTGCCTTTTCTTCCAAAATTTCCTGAGCCTTCCTATGTACAATATAAAAGCAATTGAAAAAAAAATGTGACATGAACAGTTTTGTGATTATTTTAAACGATTGGAATTTTTACTTACAAAACTTCATTCCTGGCAACTAAATCAGTGTCCATTTTAAAAACCACACCTAACTCTTTGGCGTTTTAGTTCCATTTGCAGTGTTTGATCGATAACCGGGATATGTGCCGCTGCAGGCAAGTAATCTGAACAAACATTCCTTTTTAAAACAGGAATTCTTCAACGAACATTAAACAGTGGACTAGCAGGGTCGATTGATCAGGTATATGCATAGTCGTTCATTGGAAAGCACTGTAAATTGATACATAATAATTCAAATTCAAATTTGGAATTTCTGTAGAAAGGTATTGTAAAGGTAAAAATGTTTTACTGTCGTGAATGAACCACATTTTTAATTTAATTTAATTTAATAATATACAAGGTGTTCTACAAGCTCTACGGCAAATGGTGGCTGGGTTAATTTCAAAAAATTTTTCTGATATCAACATAGGTCCGATTCGTTTTTGTTGAAAAATTTAAAAAAATATCATTTCATATTTCAGTCAAAGTAGCCTGATAAATCAAAATGATGGTTGCTATAACAATAATTATTATTATAAAATGACGTATGCTGATCCATATTGAAGCTATATTTTCTCTTGATTATTTTATACTTTCCAGACATTATTCAAACTTTATTACAATCAAGTTTTCTTAAATATTATAATTTATTAAATACAACAGAATTATTAAAACAGATTGTGGTAATTTGGCGGGATTAAAATTAGGGAGGATTTAAATTAAAAGATATTCAGATAATATTAGAGAGAATTAAAAGGTATTCAGGTAATATTAGGCAATTTATTACAACCCATTATAATCCAATTAAGATTAATGCAATATCCTTATTATGAAATATATTTCACCCAATTATGTTTTGTAAAATATTTGTTATTAGAAGAGATTTAATGATTTTCCACGGAAATAACTTTACCGTACTGGATTACATATTTCGAAAAACTACTAAGTCTGTGTCACCTAATAACTAAGTAAAAATATGTATTGACTAGTGCATCCATTTGAAAACGGTATTATTTAATATATAGGTATATTAGAATGTATACATGGTGGCTACAAGCTTGAAGAGAATTTTTTTAATGTCGTATTAATAATAAGCATTTTCAGTAGGTAATCAAAATCGTTAAAACTTGAAAACTGCATTTAAAATTGTTAAAACTTATTGAGAACCTCTGGAATCTTCCCCGACTTACGTACCACAGAAAAAGAGGTGAATAGTTGTATCTGCATGTAAATGGAATGTCGTCTACTTCTTTTATCCCATTTTTTGTAGTAAATAGAAAAATTGATTCATCAATTTTAAGTAATTTTAGTTTTCACTTTGGAAACGGTCTATAAACTAATGCAAAAAATTAAATGGCCAAAAGAATTTCCGAAATTTTTCCGTAATTTTTGACAAACTGTATTTAGGTGAAAAATGGCCTTTTCGAGAATTAAAAAAAGCATTTTGAAGCTCTAAGATTATTGGAAAATGTTTTTGAAATTTTTTTTCAGAGAAAAAAAAGGGTAGTTTTGAAAAAAACACTTTTTTAAGTGATTACCGACTGCACACAAATTAATTAGAAATTTGTCTCAAAAAACGGTATAATCCGGGTCGAAATCTGGTTTGGGTCGTCAACTTTAATTTTAATTTAAAAGTTGATGAACAGATGCATATGGAACGGAAAAGATGAATCGTGCTGGAAACAATTGGATTTTGTTTTCTTCAATGTCCTGAAGGTTTTCCAAAAAAAAACAAAAAAAACTTCAAAAATTTCGAAAACTTTTTTTTAATCAATTTATACGTTATTTGTGGTAAAAATGTGAGAAAACCTCAAAAAAAAATTGTTTCCATTTTAATTATGATCATGAAGTGTTTAAGTTCAAAATAATTTAATTAATTAATTAATTAAATTTTATTAATTAATTTAATTTTTATTTTTATTAAAAGTTTTTATTAAAAGTTTGACTGTTTGGAACAAAAAAACGGTTCTTTAGATCGAGATCAAACTTCACAGGGTTCTTCTGGGTATATCGAACTGTAAAAATCATGCTTAACATTAGTCATTTCGTGACTATTTCTAATTTTGCCGTCAATTTTGTAAAAAACTATACTTTTGTTATAGGAAATTTAATCCAGTTTTCGAAACTGCCCTTTAATTCTCTGTTCGACCATTTGTCGCCGAGATATCGATTATTTAAGACAAAAGGATACTTTTCCATTAAAAGTCCGATATTTTGATGAAAAATGGTCGTATCGAAATTTAAAACAAAGGAAATTGAATCTGAATAAACAAGCTATCTAGTCCATGCAATTGCTTAGGAAAATTATTTCGAAGTACGTGGAGAAAATAAAAAAAAATTGCAAAATTTTTTTGTCGCGCTATTCTTGATCTTAGAGCTGCAAAATACTTTTTTTTTTAATTCCCGATACGACCATTTTTCACCTTAATACAGTCAAAAATCACGGAAAAATTTCGGAAATTCTTTTGACCCTTTATTTTCTTGCATTAGTATTATAAAAATTATTAAAGAATATAAGTTTAAGTTAAGACATTTATTTTTCTAGTTTCTTACTTTTAACAGTGTTTTCTTTCTGTGAAAGGGCAGGGGTGCCTGTTGTGTGTGTATTAAAAAGCGCGAATAAATATCGGCGGAGTCAGTGGTTCCAAAAAAGTTTTCACCGTATCATTGTGGCAAGGTAAGGTTTTAAAAAAAATCACATTCAAGTTTGTCAATACCATGTATTTTTTTAATATAACTTTTTGCATATATTTTGTATACCCTAGTTACATAGCATTATATTTAATGTTTCAACTGTTACAAATTAATGTAATTTCCTTTGGTTATACTAGTACAAATATGAAACGGTATGTGTAGCAATTAACTTTAATTGTTCCTACTTTCAGCTTATTCTATATATCAACAAGTTTTAAACTTCTTCGTCCCAAAATAAAACATTTTTCTTTTCGTCTTACACGCGCTTGAATTGTAAGGAAAATTATTCCCTTTGGAAAAATCCCATTAAATCACGCTGGTTGATAATTCGAGATCCCTGAAATCGTAGTCATTGTAGTACCTTCCAAAATATAAGCGCACGCTACTGCTTTATGTCCTCTGCAGACGGGACGCGGATGGATTCTGGCGAAACATTCTGGACACAATGTATTACCGGACATACACTGTCGAATAGGTAGAGACACAGATATGAAACACACGGGACATTCAAAGGCGTTATGTTCCAATTGTGACGACATGACAAGTGTGTAATTAAAAATACTCAGCACAACACTTATAGCCACACAAGCTCTACCTGTCGAAGACAGAATACGATGTGATTGTGATTGTTTTCGGTTCCACATTTATAGTTGAATGTTATCAATATTGTTTTTTGTTAACTATAACCCCTTTATGAGAGCTATTTTTGGGATCAAGGGGGTGGTCAGATAGCGCCCAATTAAGATTAAGATTTTAATCCTCACATCTAGAAGAGGTAAACACTATATCTATTATCGTGGAAAAGTGTCTCCAACGAATAAAACAAATAATATTTTCATTATTTTTTTAATGATTTGGTATTTCATGCTCTGTTAATATATTTTACATTATTTGTAGTTTGAATGATCAAAATCGGCTCGTCTTGTAAAACAGAGTAAAACGAGCTACCGATGAAGTCAGCGGTTCTAAAAATGTTCCTCCGTATTATCGTGGTAACTTGTAAGAATTAAAACAAAATTATTCTGTTATTCGAAGTTGTATAGTCCGTACGATAATTGTCGAGCCCTACTAGACCCATGCGTATTTTCACTTTAAAGTTCTGAACTTAGTCGGAGTCGTTTGCATGACATGAGCTTCGAATTAGACTCCGTTCGAAGCTGTTTTAATTCAAGGCGTGGCGGGAGACGGCGGCAGACTCCTAAGCCATAATCCCAAATTGATATTCGCTGTTACTGTTTCGATATTCAAATCTTCCCCCGTAACGGAACGTTTAAGTCAGCGATCCAGGAGAAACATACATGAGTATGGCGCATAAATATGCAAGTGTCAACGGCGTTGCCTCAAAGCGGGATAAAAACTTCCCCTGAATAATAGATGCGGTACGATTTTCTGGAGTAGTTACGGGCTTAGGAAACTCATAAGGAATATTTTAGGTAATGGCACGTGTGGCATAAAAAATGTGTTTGGTTTCTAAATAGTTTCAAATATAGGTACTCCTTAAATAAATTCTTCACGTAAACAAACAAACAAAAAATCAGAGTAAATGTCCTCATTACTGAGCGAGTTTAAATTTCGAGTAAATTGAATGGTGCCGTGAAGATGGCACCACTTACATATCGCTTCTGTAATCTCGACCACAGTTGGTAGGGGCCCCTTAGATGCTCCTGAAAAGCGTGATCGCCTGGAGAACAGGCCTTAGTCGGCGGCTGAGGGTCTCAGCTGGTGGGTCTCAGCCACGACAGGAGGAGGCCTCCGCGAAGTTAATTAATTTCAACATTGTATATCCTAATTAATCACTTATGAATGATTTATTTTTGCACTCAATATTTAGTTAACTAAAAACCAAGTCTGAGTAAAAAATGACTCAATAATAGTTAAATTTAAATCATATTAGAGAAAAAGTCGACTCTAAATTGGTTTTGTATACTCAGAATAGAGTCAAAAATCGCTCAATTGATAGCAGTAACTCGGATTAGAGTAAAACTCAGTCATTTCTGATGCAATAGTTTCACTCATTTGCAGTCATACTAATAGAGTGAAAATTTCAGTCAATCGGGTGTGGTCAAAAATTGAGTAAAATTGGGTGAAATTTGAGTGAAATTTTTTTACATTGTACCGTATGTAGAACTCGAATATTCAACGTCACTCTGATTGTCCATGCATATAGGGTGTTCTACAAGCTCTATGACAAGCAATTAAACCCAGCTAACGTCTGTCAAAGTTTGTCATAGAGCTTGTAGATCACCCTGTATAGAGTAGTTGTTTCCCGCAACATCAGCAGTTAGAAATCTTGCTGAAGTCATATATTTTGATAAGATTTTTTTGAAAAAATTGAATTAGT